GAACGATGTACCTACAGGGACAGCTTCCTTCTGGCCTTAAAGCCTTTAATGGATAGCATAAGGAGAATAAATCCCCTAAACCCCTTCAAGGTACCATCCCCAGCTGTTTGACATCAATGGAATGGCACAACTGGAACACAGAAGCTCCTACAGGGAGATCACCCCCAATTTTTTGCTGGCTGGTACCACTACACAAACATTGAGACTACTCTTTCCTACTGGGGAAACTAAGGTAAAGAAGGGAAGAGCGATCAGGAGCATTTTTGCAATCATGGGTCGTAAGTTTTGTTTACAACAAAGGTGATGTGTGGGTGAGCTGCAGAAGCCCCAGCTACACACAAACTGCACACTGAGCAGTGAATACACATTTCAAAGCAGTAGCTTACTCATTTATCTTCGATTTGCATTTCTCTACATTCCACACAGAGTCAAGAAGCTGAGACATTCAGTTCCTCAGAAGCTTTATTTTCATTCAAGCTACAGAAATAAAGTAGTACCTTCCACTTTCTTATTATACTTTCTGCATATTTGCATGGCTCAGGGTGAGATGCACTAGGATAACTACCCTGTACATACGGAGGAAGATAAGGCTCAAAAACTAGCTTTACTTCAAAGAATGCCAAACCTTATCTATGAGTTTGGCTCCAATTCCTCAATAACATTGTTTAATAAGCATAACATAAGGAAGAAAAGATTGATCTAAACCATCTATTGTAAGTAAAATCCAAGCATTCATTACAGAAAGTCATCCAAAGAAACCTTTTAGAAATAACAAAACAGTTGTATTCTACTTTGAAAAAATAGAAAATAGATGAGTCATTTTTGCTTTATATACGATACATTCACACACATACTTTCAAGTATAATTTTAACTATTATCATACTTACATGGCTAGAGATAAAAAAGTGAAAACCCATAAGCAGATTATTATGCCAAAGAAGTCACATGCAGTCTTTATCCAGGTTTAGCAACACCTGGAATTCTCCATGGTATCATAGTGACCAAAAAAGCAGTGACTAGACTTGTGTAATTTTTGTCTTTATTAACCATGTTTTAATAAGGCTTGAAAAGTATCAGGATTTAGAAAAATGGAGAAGGGAAAAGCACAGGCAGTCATAAACCCCACAGATTCACAGCCAAGCTTGTCAGACACTCAGTACTAGCAGACAACAAAAATATCTGAGTTATGTTTGGTGAGCAGGCAAACCGGTATCAACAGACCAACTTCAGCTAGGATGTTTGTACATTTAAGGCATCCCACAAAATAACAAGTTAATGCTAGGAGCATAACAACCATCATGTGATCAGCCACAATGCACACTTAGCTCCAGACATCAGAACCTGCTTTATTTCAAAATAGGAAGGCTAGTAGGGCATCCCACAGTCTGCTGGGGAAGTGCCAGGCAGCCACCAGGCAAGAGCAGAAGTGGCCATGGTTTTTAACACAGAGGAATGAATTTAAGTGCTTATTAAAGGCTTTGTTGCAGTGCTAGATCTGGACATCTGTGGAATACAAAAATTTAAGTGTTCTGTTCAAGCAGCTACAGTGACGAGTGTCCTGCAGAGATCAAAGTGAAAAGTCTTCAAGATTTAACAGCTTCTGGAGCTTGGAAACAATGATGGAGAGGTCCAGTAGGTGCATTTGACAGCCAGGACTGCTTCCACACTGCTTCCTAATCTGCTCTGCACTCCTGCTCTCCAAGTCTAGTTTGGACAGACAGGTAAGAGCTGTCTCAAAGTAAAATAGGTAGAAACTATTTCCTTACTGGTGATGTAATTTTTATTTGCCTGTTTCTTGTCCAATATGAAAAGGCACAAATTCTGCATAAAAAAAGATGTAACCAAAACCTACTAAAAAAAATTTCAGAAACCAATGACTGTTCCTTAAGAGAGAATTAAGATGTAACCAAAACCTACTAAAAAAAAATTTTCAGAAACCAATGACTGTTCCTTAAGAGAGCAAAGTCATCTAAAAGTTAAGTGCTAGGCAGTCTGAAAGCTCTATAGGTTTAACTGTTAAGCTCAAATATTTGCTTTAGTACTTCAGTGCAGGATGTTTTCAAAATCTAGTTTTAAAACCATCAGGCCCAGACTAAAAAGTAAAGCTTCTTGGAAACAAGGGAGGCCACATACATCAAATAGAAGATCCATGTCACTTCACTAGACTGAAATGCAATGGAGGGCTTTTTGTTGTTGTTTTAGTACAGATCCCATGGAGTCCAGGATATTTTTTCCTAGCATTTCTGTAGGAAAGTATTCCATTAGGAAGTTCTGAGCTCAGTCCAAGCTTTGCTAAAAGCTATTAATTCCAAGTTCCCAGAATTTGGGTAACATTAAAAATTAAGTTTCCTGAGAGACAGCCTGAAACACAAGACAGTGACAGTGCAGGACGACAAAGAGAAAGTGACAGTGAGAAGCACTGCACAGCTCGAGATGCACAGTACACCCAGAAGCTGTTAATTCACAAATATTCCTCATCCATTACCTTTTCTTCCCAGGCTGTATTTTGGCACATTCTTACATCTCTTTAAACAGAGCAAGTTTCTGCTTTCTTGCCTTTCCCTGCTGGGTTTTGTACCACATCAAACCACTTCTGAATAGATGCTTCAGACATTTATTCTTTAGTCTTCACAGGCTTACTGAAACCACACACTTACAACTGCTACCCATTTACTGACACCAAATATTTTGTTCCAAAACTAGATACTTTAAATTTAAACATTTACTGCGCTTTCCCTCTTACGAGCCTGTGGTTGTTTTATTAATAGGCAGAACGTAGAGCTCTCAGCTTTCTCCCATAGTGTAAGAATACAAACTACACCATTATAATGAGAAGAATATTAGCATGCAGTACAAATTTGCAAGTTGGAGAAAACTAAGTTCATGGTCACTTGCTTCTTCTAGCAATGAATTAAAGGCATAAGTTATATATTTGATAAAGCAAGTACATCATTTAGTTTTCACTGAAGTCTTCCAGAAACACAGCAATTTTTATTTGAGCAGTGAAGAGCCTCAAATCAACCTAATTGGAGTTTTCATATTACAGTGTGAGTCAGTTTGCTGCTTAAACAGGTTCAAAAACCTGAGACCATTCAAAAACCCCGTCAATCACTTTTCTAGATTAACAAAACACTGCTATCCTAACAATATCCCAGTCAGTCTTGTAGTGAAATTAAAAAACCCCAATGCTATGTACTTCCTACAACAGTTTAATCTCAACACTCTTTACAAAAGGGCATCACTACCTATGCTTATGAATTCCACTCATTTCAGTGAGCCTTGCCCCAGCACTCCCAAATTACATACACAGACCTCATGTTACCACTACTCAGGAAACTGATTCACCTTTACCTTCCCATGCATACAGAGCATTACTGGTTTATTCAGAAATATCAGAACCTTTATAAACACTACACAGCTTGAGGCTGACGATACAGAATAAAAATAATTTAGAGAAATTTAGTTCAAAAAGCTTACTTTAATTACAAAGATTATTAGCTGAAGCAGTAAGCTGGAAAACAGGCAGGGACTGCTATATCCTACTATGAATGGTCCTATTAAACAAACCCAACTTGCTCTGCACACCTGCAGAATCAGGGCAGGCAACCAGTTACTCCAGAACCCACGGAAACCAGCACACAAACAGCCTAACAGCTCTCACTGCATCCAGCACAGATCCCGGTTAATGACCAACACTGAAGGCACAGTACCATTAGTTACAGATGCCTGTGCTTCTATTAAACAATGATCCAGAAGTTAACGTAATACCTTTTTGGTAGGTTCTGATATGCCATTTACAACATACACTTTTTATAAAATGTGCAAGAAAGTGTTCAAGTCTATCTTAGCACACAGAAACACACCAGTGCCTCCAATGCACAGATTTAAAAGCCTGATTCAACTGAAGCTTTGCTGCCACAGTGACTAAACTTGCTTTAAGGAGTATCACCAAGATCAAAATCCCCAATAAGCATTTGCCTTTAACTGAAGAAAGGCTCTATAGCCCTGGCAAGATCTTAAAGTTCATCACACACTGAAAAATAAGAAATTATCAATAAAGCATCAATTCTGCTGCATGCTCTGCTTTTAAGGAGTGGAAAGAAAAAGCCTCTCACATTGTGCTCAGAACAAGAAGTTAACTCAATGGCCTTCAAAATTTTCCCCAAACCCGCAAGTCAAGCAAACTTCCAGCTCCCACAGCAACTTTCAAGCCAATGAAAGTTTCATTTCATTGCAAGACATACATACTAGCAGACTATCTAGATCCTCATATACTTTTATTTTGTAGCCATCTCTAGTGCTATTTACTTGTACTTCATATAGGAATTATATACTTAAAGTAGAATCACTCACTTAAGCACTTTTAGTGTAGTTCCTACCTGATGCTAGACAGCTTTCTACATACCCTTGAAGTTCTTGGTTGGCATAAACCAAAGTTAAACAGAAACAACACAAACCATGACCAATTAGTCCAACCACTAAGAAAAAAACAGTAGCCACATCAAAATAATTTCACTTTGATTTGGGATGCTATCTAGTAGATTTATTAAGTTTCAACAGACTATAGCTCCAGACTTTATCTTTCTTGGAAGACACTGCAATAGAAGCCACAGCAGAGACTGCCTTGTCACCAGAGGTACAAATACTTGCTGTATAGGTGTAGAAATAAAAGGACAAATCTAGTTGTCTAAAAGACAATTCACTGTACACATTTTATTTACAGTTTTGTACACTGTCTTAATATGAATGGGACCGCTTTTCTACTTGAGCCATTTTAACCAAAGCAAAATAACCTAAGTAATACAAAGTGTTAAAATACAGCATAAGATACAAAAACAGACATACTATTTCTAGTAAGGAATGTAAATTATGGTGTTACATTTAAAAAAATCCACAATTATGTTTAGGAAATCACACAAACAGATCACTCATTTGACTGAAATGCGTAAGTTTGTAGCAAAGCTTTGATGTTACAAAAAACCAAAAAATTACCAACGAATGCACAAAATTAATGTTTATTCCACCTTTGTCATATTCCCAGATTCTTCACCAAATGTTACATGAGCAAAAACAACTGAAATCAAAACATCACTAATGATAGGGAAAACAAATAAATTAATCTAGCAGCCATCAGCACAGGTTACAGCAAAGATGACGCTGTATAAAAAAATTGCTAGAAAACTGTATGCACCATACTCTTTTCCAAACCAGCAAAATGTTACTGCATACAATGCAAATGTAAAACAGAGTAATTTCCTGCAGGTACAGAAATGCAACTTCTTTTCTGAATACTGTAGATAAACTTTTTTTGTAATAGTAATGTTTCTACCAAGCTATTACAGAGTGGGTCAGGAAAACATTTATGGATCCCAGGGTGAAGTGTACTAAAATTCTGATTGGTAATGGTTACTTCAGCCGAAATAGAAAAAATTGAACACAGAAGTACAAGACAAAGGCGAATGAGACTTCTCACAAATCTTAGCAACACTTAGATGGAAATCAAATTTAAATATAGTCCACTCTGCTTTTGAAGAGGCTTTGGTTCAGCTCCCAAATCTCGATTGCTTGACGCAGTCTCCTATGAAAGAATACTCAGAAGGTGTCTTCTTAAACAACAAACCTATTTTTAGTGGTGGAGCCGCTCTTAGTAGCTGTGTCTGCATGGGACTGATAACCAATCACTATCTTTGGAGGAAGTCCTAATCTTTCCTTGTATACTCTCCTGGAGAAAAGAAATAGAACAACAGTTTAAGCAAAGCCCTTGGGAAGGAATTAGTAACAGGACACCTGCTTTTAAGATCTGCTGACACCTTCATGAATAGATGCCTGTTAGAAACAATTTCTTAGCTATGAATTAAGGACTTGAAACAGGATTTTTCCTAGCTTATTGCATCTAAAAAATCAGCTTATAGCTCTGTATGAACACTGACTTACTATACAAAATAGGGTAAGCTCGTGCCAAAAAAAAAAATAACAGGCCTACATAAATGTAGAACACAGGGATACTACCATTAATGTCAGTAAGCTACATTCCCACATACAGAAACAAAACAGCTATGAAGTCATGGTCCGTGATTCCAGAACTACTGAGATGGTAAAGTCACCTGAACCAAATCAAACAGCAATTCCCTGGAACAGTCAGTTTTTATCACCACACAAATCTCAGTTGCACAGACTTGCTGTCTTTTCTTCAACTACTGACAGAAAGCAGACCACCACCCCCCCAATTCATTATGGTACCGGTCACAGGCAGCTACCCAACAGGAGCTTTAATAAAAATCAACTTGGATCTTATGCCTTAAGAGAAAGAAGCAGCAGTACTCACCTTACACAAACAGTGCTCTTTAGCACAGAGTGAGATGCAAGCCACTAATGGCACTAGGCTGCAAACTCTGGCTAAACCACAAAACAACCCTGTTCCACCTATAGATTGTTAACAAAACTACGTAAATTTAGGGGGTTTTCTAACTTACCCTAATCATAAGGGGACCATAGCTTACCCAAATCTGAACTGTTAAATAAAAGCCTGACGTATTGTCTTTGGAGTTATGGTAACATGACAGCAGGTAGTCGGCATAACTTACCTTAGTCATCATGTTAGTCGGTTTGCAAAATCTTAACTTTTTACAGTTCTCTAACAGAGTCACCCCTAGCTCCTTAGTTAATGGTTAATACTATTCTAAAAAATGTTCTCTGGTGCCTGTTAGGTTTGATGCAAAATTATTCTCTACCAGCAGATATGTACCACAGTTCTGTTTGATTATTGTTAAACACTTACCTTTCAAGTCTGAGCATGATTGTATAATAAAATTGTTAGTGTAAGGCAGACCCCATCAGATTCTTAAAGGTCCAAATGAGGAGTGTGTCAAGAGAGCACCCAATAAGTGAAAAATGTTAGCAAGCTACTACACCTGACAGTTAAGTTTGGCCTAAGATGGATGTGCTAAGCTGGGAAGATAACCTGTGCAAACCAATGAAGATATTTAAGTGGCCTAAGATGACCAAATTTAACAGCAAGTAATTTTGAAGCATCAGTACTACAGCATAAGGAATCCATCAGTTTTAGCAGTACTTGCTAAATAGCAGAGCATAACATGCATTTTCCATAGTACAGACTCATTATCACCCTTGCTTACTGGAATGAAGACTACAACATGCTATTACACACGTCAATCCATGAAACTCAGCATTATTGTTTGAATTGCACTTAAACAGAGATAAAAAGTAGGAAAACATCTGTAGAGTTTAACAGCACATCACTGTCCATTTTTTTTAGCACTTTTCCTCTTATGTGTAAGCATTACTTTCCTGAGAAAAATCTTGCAATGCTCTACTGTTACTGGCTACCCACCCTTTACAAACTAGCACGCTGCAACAGAATCTATAGTGTCTACAGGTATTACTTTCAATGCCTCGCTGTGAAACTAAAAACTTCTGCCAAGATTTCTGTTCAATTTTTCATTACTTCTAAACTACAGCGAAGGTAGCACAGCAGTACAAAGAAGTTACTAATATAAGTAAGTACTTACACAGTAAGGCAAATAATTTGGCACTGAGACTTAAACTTGGCATACAGCTCTGCACAGGCTGTGTTTGCCTGAAGTGCATTCTCTGTCAAGTTGGCTGCCTTTAAACGCTTTGTTACACTTCATGTATTCAAGACTTCAATCACATTACTTACCCTATATGCGTAACAGCATCCCTGTTTTCACATTCAGTTGTCCATATTGCTATTTTATCACCCTTAGTTCTAACATTAACAACAGCACCACATACATCATCACTGTAGTCATCAAACGACTCCCCAATAAGGCACAGCAGCTACAAAACAAAGAATAACCATTAAACATGACAGCTCAGAGTCAGAATCCTGCTCCATAGGCAAACACTCAATGTACCCAAAGGACTGAGGATTACTACATTTTACTGCTTACAGCCATTTGCCATACAGCAATAATTCTGTTTGTCACCGTATTTTCTTGAAGTTCCAAACGTTACAAGTGAATGTAAACTCAGTTGCAGTAGGGAATCGTCCTCCTATTCTGAGTTTTCCATCTCTCCTCCTGTCCCAGCAGCTCCAAGTTCTGACAGTTGATCATTTACATAGTGTTGCCTCCCACTCCACCCTCCCAGTCCAAAACCAGGTCAGAATTACAATTTATCCTTCCTTCTGAAGTACGTTTAACACAGGCAGGCAAATCTGAAATCTTAAGTGTTTACACTCGTTATCCAGGATGAACCTGTGAGGAACTATTTGGGCAATATGTCAGCTATGTAAGGTCCAGCTTCAATTGTAGAGTATTTCAATGCAGAAGCAAATCAGACTGCAACTTAGATGGAAAGTGCTATCTAATTAAGTGTTACTTTCCATCAACGTACTCAGGAAGCTTCAGTTCAAACTCTGAAGTGAGAGTCACTCATCCCGAATGGTGTAATGCAAACACAACAACACAAGTGTACATAACACAAGATTCTCCCCCCATAGATTTATAATGGTGAAACCTGGAATTGGCCAAGGTGGTATAGTTCAGGAACAGAGTGAGTTAGATCACATCCCTGTACAGTGGGCTAACTGCAGGAGTGATATTTAAAATCTTCAACTCACAAACTGTAACACAAGCAATTTTCAGATATTCAAAACTGGGAATTTCTTGTGGTTAGGACATTCATACAACCCATGCTCAATTTCAAATCCTTCTGCACACTGAACTATTAATCTCCTATTGGACACTTGTTTACCTCACTTGCACGGTATGTTAAATACACTGGCATTATATAAATCTTCCAGAATCACTTACAGTATACAGAAATTCAACACTTGCAACTTTCTGAATAAACCAGATCTTTTCAGTACCCACGAGAGCTGCAAGGGCTGATTTCATCAAGGAAATAGAAAAAGGACAAAGTGTGCTACTGAATCAATCAGGTATAATTAGACACATTTTAAATGTTACACCTAATTGCAGGGTGCACACATTCACTGAGTAATGAAAGCCATAAATGTATAAGTTTAAACCAAACAAACATTGAATATTGATCAACAGCCTTAGTACATATACAAGCAAAGATAACCATCTTGCTCAACACATACTATAGTCAGATAAATTCTCCATGAATACAGAACAACAGGAAGGAAATAGTCCTCTCAAATCAAGTTTAATTTAGTTTAAGAACAGTAAAGATCATTAAATAATAAGAAAAATCTGTTCCAAAGGGGAGTGATACAGGAAGAAGTTTTGATTTTTACTGGAGAAAGTTAGTTACAAATAATTACTGGAATCACAAGTGACAGGGGTTGTTTTAGAGCACAAATTCCAGTCACCCTGGTATTTGGGCTCTGTGCCTGCTGCTAAACAAAAAGCAGAGGCCCCCTAGCCTGGAGTCTATATAAACCATTGACATGTTTCCAGTCCATACGTAATGGCTAGTAAGAGTCAGAAGAACCAATGCAGGCATTTCAGTGGACACAGCAAGACATTTACTCATGTGCCGTCGTATTGCCTTGCAGTATAATGCTCACCATCCTTTCGTCAAATCACTATGACAGTGACTAGAAAGATGCTAATAGTGCTGGTATTGTGGACACCCTGCTTTGATGAACACCTCTGCACTGAAGGCCATTTCTCCCTTTCAGAGGGGTGCAATACTTCTTGCTTCTCACACAAGCAGGGAAGAAGTTCAGAGATTTGATAAGACTGCTTTATATTGTACTGCCTACAATCTATGCCCCTAGAACCCAGACCACACTAGACTTCTAGGCTATTCTGAGTGAGTTTCTAGACAGTACAGTTATAGCCTTTTCTACATTTACTGAAATTCACATCATCTCTAGAAGTTTATTTATAATTTAAAAAGTCTGTTCCAAAAAGAAATAGCAATGGAAAAAATATTTTCACAGTGTACAGGAAAATTGTGTTATTATTTGCCTATCCTAGTGTTAAGATACAGACAGAACAAAAGTCTGAAACTCCCCTGTTTCAGCAAGACCAAAATCCAAAAACTATTTGTTTGCAGCAATTTGTTTCACAAATACTCTAATATTTAAGTTGTTAAATTTGGGAGTCGCATTCAAGGCAAAGTATGATTATCCCAGTAGCTCAACAACTATTCTGTACATTCCACAGGAAAAGGTTAATCTGTCCTGCAGAATCATCTCTATTGCTGCTCATTATAAGAAAGCATTCAACAGCATACAACTACATGGAGCATCACTATCATGTTTCAAATACAGCCTGACAATAAAAACTTACAGGACACTGTGCTACCAGGAAGTTAGATATCTAGTGTGGCACAGAGAAAGAACACACCAGTTAAAATACTAAATACGACTGCAAGACTCTTCAGTTTAAACTTGTAAGGCTGTAGTACTTACTGTCTCTAGCCAGAAGCGATCAAGGTCACTTCGTCTCTGCTGTTTGTTTAGTGTAATTAGCCACCGTCCTCCTCGCTTGTTTTTTTCATCTTCCCACATGGGTTCAATTCCATCCTGCAAAGAACGGCCAGATGTCAAATCAGACTTGATTTCTATTTTTCCTAAAGAATAACCAAAAGGCTAGTGATAAATGAAACAGCAACTTAAGAAAAAAGCCTGTAGTTTGAGACACATACCTGTCCAGAAATACTGTCTCATTCCAATACCAAAGTTCTCCAGTACCAATACCAGTTAAAAAGTGCACTTTCTTTCATGAATTTTGATTTCTACAAAAGAATCACAGCCCAGGCAAAACCCTTGGCTACACAACATTACATTAAAAAATTGTGTGAACAGGCAAAGTTAAACATCCATTTTACCCTGTATGAAACCAGACAAAATTAGCAGCTACATTCTGGAGTCCTTATTTTAAGTCTTGGACTCAGTGCAACATTGGCCAAATGCTTCACTTATGCATAAAGATTACTTCACTGAAACAGACGCTCTTGGCAGTCTGTCTCAATGACTTCCTGCACACACAAGGTGAGAATAAGAGGGTTTTAATTGCCAGGGCCACAAAAAACAACACACCATTTAGAAGCAAGTTGCATTCTGATTCATGCTTTTCCAATGGCCCTGCACTGAATTAAATGACCCTGGATACACTGATCCACCAAAGCAGGCAGCTGCCACTCCCACACCCACCAGCTACGCTGCACTTCAAGAAAGTCAGTCATCAAAAAAGCAGGTAACTGTCTAGACAGAGAAATTAGGTTAAAAAATGTCTATTAAGGGTTGCACTACAGAACTCTGGCTGAAAGCTAATTAAGTGTTCAACATGCAGGATGGAGTGGTGTCAGCTCACTTTAAATTTAACACCCTCACTGGCAGCTGCAGAGCTCAAACTACTTCATCACCTTTAAGAGCAACTCTTACAAGGCCACAATTGAAGGACAACAGCGAGAGCCTGCTCAGAAGCCTGTAACAGTTACTAATTCTGTACCAGTTCCACATTTAAAGACTTAAATTATTGCAGATTGATGATATGCAGACACAGAATAGATACACATACTTAAACAAATTTAGGATTCATACAAAAAAAATACAAGTATGATCCATAGATATCCTAACCTCTGAAGGGCCTACAGCTTCTTAAAATTTACTAGTAAGATTTCTCAGTCACTTAAAATACTGTTATCTTCCCAAACCCAAGCATCACCTCCTCACTACCGAAAGCTGCTGAGGTTTACAAACTATGTACACAGGCTACTGAGGAATGTCAGCCAGTAGCCATTTTATAAGCAAAGGAAGAACCAGGCACCAGTACTTAGAGGATTATTTAGGTATTTGAATCCAGAGAAGAAGCTGTATGCTACAAGCACTTCGGAGAGGCTAGGATTTAATTTAGAGCTCCCGTTCAGATCTCCGCTCCAGCTGAGGCAGGATTTCACATACACTTTCTCATCAGCATTTCAGTTTGAACACTTCCTCAGCATGCTTTAAGTGTCAGTTTTGATTACAATTTTCCATTTCATACATAAGCAATATGGCATTTAACGGGTGGTGGAAAAATTAACTATAGGAGCATTGTGTATCTGGCTAGTAGTGTTCATAAAAAATAGCAGAGAACATCGCAGCCTCCCACAGAACTCAGACACATGAACTCATTTCATGTCACACCAAATGAGAGAGATGGAAAATCTTTCATATGATAAAAAATATTGAGATTTAGTTATCTGCACAAATATTTCAAACAGAATGAAAACAAACACAGTAACAGATTAAACCATACTGTCTGTGAAGTGTGTTACAGCAACTACTTGCATTTTCAGAACTAGTGACAGCCTGATTTTCAGAAGGCATGTGTTTGGGACTTCCAAAAAAAATTAACACCTTTAGGACATTCCCAACCATGTTCCTAAATATCTGAAGTGAAATATTTCCTGACTAAGCAAGACACTGTCTTGCTTAGTCAGGAAACCATCAACATCCATAACTGAAGAAAAAAGGTTAGCAAGCATACCTTAAAGAGCGAGTAGTCACAACCAGGCATTAAATTACTAGAGAGCTGGATATGGTTGTATAAACTATTGGAGGGAAAAAAGCAGGATTAAAAACTAAGCATTATTTTAAGGGAAAAAATTCTTACAGAATTTAAGACATATGACCGAACAAAATACAAAAATTAAAAAGCATTAAAAGTTATTGAAGCAACCCCATTTCCTAAGTATTTTTCAGCAGTATAAACCCATTAGTTTTAAGATGTTCTGGGCTTAAAAAGCAGAATGGAAACTGGTTTGTTAACACTTGCTGGGTTCCTATACAATAGCATTTCCCAGAAATACCAATGCTTCTTTTAAACCTAGTTATAACACAGCTATTAGAAACACAACTCACTCAACTTTCCTGGCAACGAGTCCTGTGTCCATGTGTATTCTGTACATATACACACAAGGAATAAAGATAATTGTTTATATTTCTAAGGCTACTCTCTCTGCAGAGAGGTTTTAGGAGAAATATTCAATGCTGTTATTTAATACAATACTCTAGGGATGAAGGCTGTAGGCCTGATAATTCAAATTGCAATAAGGACTCTAAAGGTAAGAACAGATGACAACCAAATATGAAATATAAACTCTGAATTATATTTACAACTATGCAATTCAGAGCAAAAAAACCAAAGTAGTACATACTGTCTCCTCCTCTAGCGAGGAGACAGATGCCTTTTTCCTACACTGCTAAGGTCAGACTTCAGAAGAAGGCCTGCACCTCTCACAGCAACCTGCAGCCCAAGACCAACATTCAGGCATGGTCCAGCACCAAAAAGGAAATGTATTACTGCAATGTTCTAACAATTAGGAATCAGGCACAGGAATATACAAAGCCAGGTACAGATTTACCAGCTTCCCTCCTTTAAGTTTACCTTAACCTTAGTATTTTCTCCCCAGAACAACATACCTATTTCCCACTCTGACCATAATGGAGGCAGAACTTCTCAACTGCTTGTGACTGATTTTATATCCTTGACTTCAGACATCTAGGTTAATTACCCAGACCATCTTTGTTATAGGAGCTCAAAAACTTGCCCTTAACCAACTTTAACAGTGAGTTTCAAACAATTTAGCTGCTCATCCCATACTCCAAGACTACAAACTACTGTTAACTCAACCATCAGTCACCTCCATAGCAGGAACAGGAAAGCTAGTTACAAGCACAGAATCCGATTCCCCTCTGACATCTACACTGATAAATATTTGTTCAACATTTTCAGTATCGCTATTTCTTCCCTGTTGGTGCTAATGGGTCTCATTATTCTACTTAGAGACACCATTTCCCCCTAACTGATGACATCCAAAAGGCGGCACACAAAAGCCTTAAGAACCTTACCACTCAATATAGCGCATAACACTAAAAGATCAAATATATAATGCTTTTTTCTCCACCCTCAATCTGATACCACTTGCATATTGTCCATATTTCGTCATTATGTCAGGCAAAATCTTTCAAGTAAGGCACCTGAATCTGACTGAAGCAAGTGTTTGGAAAGCACAGGCCTACCTTCAAAGGCTTTATTCTTGCTTTTGCAGCCTGAATGCTTTTACAGACGTTCAACTTAGAATGAAGGTAGTTTCTTCTGTAACCTCTAGTGAACTTATTTTGAGGACACATCAATCTCTCAAGTACTATGCTCCAGATTCAGGCACCCTTGCACATCTGAAGTGAGTCAGCTGTCCAAGAATTTAATTAACTAGTAAAATCTGGAGCCAAGGAAGTGACAATCAGTTGGCTCCAAGAATTTACAAATTCATATTACTATGAGATAGCTACTGCACAAATACAATTTTCTACATGTATGTCAAGTACATATGAATGTAAGCAGCGCTGCAGTGCAAACTGCAAGGCAACGTGCACTTAAAGCACGAAGAACTTATCCAGTCACATTTTCTTCAAAGATTACATTCTACCACACCCTGAAGAATGAGGTAGACCTCACCTTCAATTTTGCAGACGTTTCAGATTACACCCAAAAAGTTGCAGTTAATGGAGTACTTTGGCTTTTTGACTTTGGCATAAGCTTTGCCAATACACACCAGAATTATTATGGAGATTGAAAAACCTTTACTTACGCCCAAAAATCTTCAACAGTATCAAACTTTGAGATAAGACGAAGATTTGCTTGCCAAGTTTTGCTCTTGTCATTTTTAAAAAACCAGAGTGCCCATCTAAAGGAAAACAAAATAAAATAACAGCATCTAGAAATTAAAGTATATTAAAAATATAATTCATTATTGGTGTTGTTATACCCAAAATAATTGAAAACTTCAAGAGATTATTAGCATGGAAATCTGTTTTTATCAGAAGATACATGAGAAACTCAGTTCTCAAATCCAGCTCTTTGCAGATCAACAATATTTGTGTTCCCATTGCAAGAGTCATGGCAGACTTGATCAATCTGTTTATGTAAATATTTCAAATAGTTTTGGATCATTTTTAAGACTCTAAAACCCTAAGCCTCAAGTGTTTTTCTCCTTGCTGCCACCACTACACTGCAATCCCCTACTGCAAATAACTGATTATGGTGTAAAACAAAAAAACTATTCAACCTAGGAACACAGTTCCCTTTCCAGTGATTTCTTTGTAAAGGTTACAAAAGCTAATTATATCACTCCAAAGCTACACATGACATGGAAGTTTCACAAGCACTCACATACTAGAAGAGCATAAATTTTAAAAGGGAAGCTGCTCTCAGCTTACTAATGGCACCAATCTTCAAAAAAATGCTTCAAGTTTTTAAATCTGTATACATGAAGACAAGACTAAATGAAAATTTTTCCATCCAATGGTCTACACTCTTATCTCCACTGAGTTCCAATCTCACTGCATACAAATTGAACATTTATACACAACGATGCTCTTTCTGGATCTAAGAAGCATTGTTCAAAATGCTGGAACAGGGTACTTGAGACATTTAACAAAAGAGGCTTATTTTTCATTTTGACAGTTTCAGTAGTGTTGAAATCACTCAGGTTAGCACTAGACTCACAGCAGAGAACTTTAAGTCAGCAGGTGTCAATTTAGTGTTTTGAGACCTTTCCTGACATTTCACTACCACTTGTAAAAGAGTGGTCAGCACTGATTTAATCAAAGTGGTTAGAGGAAAAAGAGGAAGAACAGAAGTTGAGAGACAGACAAGGGAAAATGGGACGCACACTGCATAGCACTACAGTGCAGAGTAGTTCTACACATTTGTCTAAAACCTGGAAAAAGAGGAAGGTGCCACTTGGTAAAAGGTTCACTTTGGGGCAGCATCTACCTACCAACATTATGAAAATTTGCAAAGATTTTCAGCTTCTGTAACAACACTATGTGAAAAGGCTCTAAATTGCAACAGGATCAGATTCTATTTCCTCTGCCACCTCACTGCAAAAATCTTCCAAAATTGAGAACTCTCAAAATGCTGCTAGAAAACTTAAGGAAAGCAAGAAAGTTGTAAAGCCACGAGCATTTTTCCATCTTTGGCAAAATTACAATCACGTTTCTGTGCTATTTACCTGTTTTGTAGTGGATGCTTAATGTACTGTTCTGGGCTGGCAACCTCCTGACTAGGTGCTGGCTCAGTTTTCTCCTCTTCTGAAGGCTGAGGGTTGGGAGTGGTTTCCTGTTTGAAGAAAGGAGTTATTAATACGTTCCTTCTCAATTTTTATTGAAGTAATTTAGTTCTTTGAAGTAACTTTAAGAAGGCTGAAGCTAAGAGTTCCTCTAATTCATCTTGGATTAGGAATCCAAGTCATGGAAGCACAATTTGCATCCCTTTATTCTTCAACATCTGAAGAGGTCCTACAATAAATACTAACTGCAGGAACTCACATTCTGCTGTTCAGCAATTTGCTTCCTGGGTCATTTGTTTCCAGAATGGTTTACTTAACATACTTGTCTTATGTTCAAACAGTTCTGAGAGTTATTTTCAGAAATACACAATATGTGATGTTATCTAGAATATGCACACCTAAAAATTTCTAGAATAATTTCAGAAGGAAATTTTTTGTATCAGTTTCTGACAAAGCATCATTGGAAACAGATGACCAGGTCCTGTTTATTTAGAAAAATCTGTTATTACAAGTAGGAGACATGCCTGTAATTCTCAGGTCAGAAACTGGCTCTAACAAGCAGTTAGAATCCAAACTGGTAAGGAGTTATCTTTGTATTTGCAACATCACTACTAACAAAGCTTCAGGCACCAAGCAGCAGAATTTAAACACATTAGTTCTCAAATTTCAAACGAAAATAAATGTAATTATACATGTTTATCACAGATTAGACTAATTCTAGTATTTTTTCAAATCTCTAGAGACAGTGCTAGAGATGTCAAATATATTTTAACATAAAGTGGTGAAATAAGCTTGTTATTCATTTCAAGAAGCCACTGTGTCAGGTTTGAAATTCTAATGCCATTCCTTCAAACCAGTGAACACAAAGCTTTCTTGTGAGGCCAAGTGTTCCTGCCAGTCACCACCATCTCTCCCTAATCTGCAATCTGTGCTAGAATATTACAGAGACAAGGAATGAGGACTAGAACTCATTCCCTACAGTTCACACAAAAATGCCTGTACAGCTGACCTTGTGAAAGAAAAAGCACCTCAGTAATATAAACAAATATTAACTACAACAGACCCAAAGACTCTAGACATTCCTAAACATGGCAAAACAAAAGCAGTACTTAAATTAGTTTAAACTTTGTGGTCTTCAGAAAATAAAGCAATGTAGGGGCAGATTAAGCAATGGTAAATCATCTAATTAATGGAACAGTTTACTCCAGACTTCTATGTTACTCAGTTTACTATCACCAAAGCTGCTGAAAGCAGAATGGATTTGAAGTGATAACAAACACATTGTTCAACCTTCACAGTCCCAGTTGGCAAACTCTTTTGATAACCCCTAAAGATCTGTCTTAATAGGGATTTTATTTTCATTATTAATATATTTAGCACTATTAAGATATTATGTTTTACTCTAGAGAAGTAACATCTTTACATTTGAAAATAATTAATTATGCTTTAGTTTAACAGCTCATCTAGAAAAAAATCTCAATTCAAAAGCTAATTTACATAATGTTTCAGAACACTTTCATATGCTCCCACATCCACTGTGAAAGACTGAAATGCAAAGGCCCACCAGGGGCAGGGACAACTAGGCCAGTGCCTTGACATACACAGTACAAGGGGCAGACAGTCCAACTTCCTGCCTCTTAATAAAACTAAATGCTTTCTGAAGATTCCCTCATGGGGAGCATCACTGCCAAACCCACAGAAGCACAGTGTTGAACAATCTGTCCAACCTCCTTCAGCGTAATACTAGAAAACCTAAACAGATCTTCAGAAAGCTCAGTAAATGCTTCAAACTTATCTAGAACAAAATTTCTAGCATTAGCCCCATCTACAATTAAGTTGATGGGATATTTGATCCCATCATTCCCTTTAATCACATGTAAGAACTCCACAGAAAAAAATTAAGATAGTCAATGCACAAAGGGTACAAAATAGAACAAACCAGCATTTAAATATTTCCTCCTCCAAGTTATCGTTTGTATTATACTACAAAAAGACAAGTACAGGCAACCACAATTTAAGCATTGCCCCTTCAGAGGCTTCTAACTAGAAGAGTTCTAAATAGTATACATGCAAATACAATGAGCATACAAGAAAAATCTTGTGGATATTTTGGAAGTAAGCACTAGGTTTTGTGATAAAGCTTGCTTTCATTCACAATATTCTGCAGTTATGACATCTACTATTTACAACTGATTTACAAACACTATTACACTAAAGATACACACATCAAATAGACTCACTCTTGACAAATGCAGAGTATCTTCCAAAAATAATTCCAGTTGAGAATCTCATTCATGTTTGCTCAGCAAACAGCTTTTGATATACAAAGGGCTATAATCCTAAAGTCTCCCTGGTCAGTCTTCCAGAAGACTGTTTATAACTATATAAACTGGAAGAATCAATACAAACCTACTAAGCACATGCAGGGGCATGTAATTCGTAACTGCTACTGTAAGACAACATCAGAAAGGATTAAGGTATCACTTCCAGGCAACTAAAAAAAATTGCCATGAGCCTCAGTTCCGGCCCTGTCAGCCACCCTCCACATAAATACGTGAAAGTCCGTTTCTGGACAAATGGAAGACACCTGACTCAGCACAAGCATTTTAGTTCAGTCACCACAATAAAAAGTCTCAAGATATTTTGAAAGCCACCCAGCATTAATGGAACTCAAGACTAACCATTATTTCAAGCTCCTGCTCAAAACAGTACATGACGACTCACCTTCAAGGCCTGGCTAACTATGATCTAGACCCAGGATTATGCCTCTCCTCTCAGACTAACTCACTCAGAACAGATATTTTTTTCAGCACCAGGCTGTCCATCAAGGGCAGCTACAGCTGCACATACCAGAACAAACTTGGGAAAAGGCATAAAGTTGGAAGCAGAGCTTTCTACCGCAAAACAGGTTTCTGGCTGGTCTCAGACAGAAGCCTAAAGCAGCTTGTTTTCACTATCTTTTATTTCCCACTGCCATCAAGGAAAACAGAAAAAGAAGCATTTTGAATCTTGGCTGGTTAATCATATCAGCTCCCATTTTCTTTTATCTTACCTTTATCTCACTATTCTGACCACCAAGCTAAAGTATTTGTATTGCAAAGCACTTTTCAGTATTAGTCAAACAGTATGTAAGTTCACTAATTGGCATTCAAAGTCCATTTCTTGTACCCAATCTCTTTTCAGCTACTGAAATTCTACCCCAAACTACAAGCATTCAGGTTTTAAAAGATTCTATAAATACAACATGAATTAAAGCAATATTGTATACATTTTACCAATTCACACCTTGAAATCGTGGAACTGCTACACTATTAATTTACAAAAGTCAGACTTGTCTCTACAAGCAGTTTCTGGACTACTAAATTTACAATCTTTTGTAATACTTTACTATTGCTCATAACTAACACATTCTTTAACCTAAAACTGACTTTGTGTCTGCTATTAAACTAAGCCACCACTGGGTCTGCTGCTTCTAAAATAGATGTAATGAAATAGGGTAGAATTACCAGACAAACTGGAAAGCTTCCTATGGCCAATCCTACTCCTCATACACAAGACAGCACATAATTAAAAGTGACATTTATTCACTACCCACTTTTTTTCATGTAGGAATCAGCCTGCAGAAGTCCATGAAACATCTGCCTACTCAGCACTTAATGGCTGTGCATATCTGCACATTACTTGGATTCTGACACTCACAGATTTAATTGGTGTTATTTATTCTTTCTCCACAGCACATGACGACCAGCGTACAGAAGGAAGGTGTGCGTGTCACTGGGACAGGAAACAAATAGTGCTTCCAATAAAAACTGCTTACTCAGGTTTGTCTATTGAGGAGAACAACTCGCTTGACTAGGCTTCACCCAGAGTTTTCAGGCACTGCCCAGACCACATCCATGCCATCTAATTGTCTACAGACGTCACTCAGGAAGTCCAGTTGAGAGAGCACAAGATTTATGTCCCAAAAGGGCATAACCTAGCAGCATTACACATTCTTGGTCAAAGTTAAGAGAATCAGTTAGTGGAAGAGACTTCCAAAGCTTTCTTGCATTAAACCAAAACAAGTTACATTTGAGAGTTTCCACCTTCTTGTTTAGGGTTTCCAACAGAATGACAAAGCTGCACATCCTAGTTATCTGATGTCTAGGGAAAAAGCATGTCAACTGTCTGCTGGTCCTTATGCTTCCTCCAGGCAACTCCTACTACAGTACAGTCAGGATAATTCACAAGGCACAAAATCGAGAGCTATTTATTTCAAATTTTCTGGACAAAAAAAAAAGGTATTTAAGCCCACCCACATACAAGTGTTATGTGCTGTAAGGCAGCAAACCGAATTATGATCTGCTATGGAAGTCTGAGGAATGAATATACAGAAGTAAAATCACGCATAGTACATGTAACACCAGCTGAAAGAGGGGTACCAACAGCCACCTGTTACCGATTAAACAGTGTCAAACAGCTTTCCAGACACCAGGACAGGGACAAGTTTTCTAGGCATGACATAACAAGGCCTAATACAAAGTAACTATCCTAACTGCACATATTACTACTCACAGACCACCACAGATTGTTAGAAAGGCATTCACTAATAGAACACAAACACAGGAGGCGATTTTAACAGAGTGACTTCCCCCTAAATTAGAACAGAAGTGTAACACAGGTACAGGAGGAGAGGAACAGAAGACTGAAGTGGAAAAGTACACGCTTCCTCCAGTGCCAGAGGGGCGCTCTGGTTAGTTTTTTTAGGAAATATAATCAGGTTTATAAGATGCAAAGAATATTTACAGCCCTTTTGACTTCTGACAAAAATGAGTTACACTTGAAAGTACCCATCAGATTTTCAACATTTAACCTTATTATTAGAATTAATGAACAAGTTACAAAGTATATCAAAATACTTCAGTATCTTTTGTTTTTTCTAACTGCCTAAGCAGGCTGCTCTCCTGCTACCACTTCTCACCCCAGTCTGCTGCTGCCTTTACTACTGGAACATGAAATCTAGGTATGGGATAAGATGACTTTCCACTAACATTCTGTTAGTTCCAAGGCACTCAGACAAGCAAACAAAAACTT